CCCTCCAACGCTCCAAATATAATCTTATTTGGCATTGTATATCATCCTCAATCAAAACTTTTATAGACCTATCATCATTGTTTTTCCTCGGCCCTACTTAGATCAATAAAGTTTCTAAAAATCATTTTGAAAAATCTAACAATCGGCATTTTCATTCACAAACTCCATTTAGCACGTTTCATCAAGATATTCAAAACAAAATATTTCATTTATTGATATTTTGATTTATCAAAATATTCAAATCAAAATCCCGTCTGACGACTTCAAGAACAAGGGCAGCCACTACACATTATCGATCACCAATCCGACCCTGACCTAACTGAGTCAATCAAAGTAGTATAGAGGTGAGATTTTTCAAATAATTTTGTGATACAAAATAATGAAATTTAGTGCATAAAATAATAGAAATAATGAGGAATATTATGATATAATTTTGGATGTGGAAACCCAATCAAACTATACATAGAATAAGGTTTTATTTATTTTTCATATTTAATACTTCATGGTCACAAATAAGTCCACCATCGCTCGACATTTATTATCTCCTATGCATTATAATTCAACATCCATTATCCCAAAACACCCTCCATCACCCAATGCCTGCCACACGTTATCCAATCATGTATCCTACTCCTCTCCATTCATAAGTAGAGTTGTCTTGACTGATTACAATTGTACAGCACCTTGCACTAGTTAAACAAGCTGGTTTTCTAGAAAAAGAATTGTTTTGAATACCTCCAACTCCAATCACAAATAATTCCAATCATATGTTGACCTAAGGCCACATGCAAATTCCCGGGCAACTAATCACCCATTCTTTCGGGAGAATGATTGAACTAAACACTTCCAATATCTCATCAGTTCTAGATTGTCTTACGGCTTCAAGTGGCCCCTTGTGACCTTCACGACCTTCCTGCATCGCAACATCACCTCCTACAATTCATGACATCTCTGCCTCCAAAAGAAGTATCATCCCTACCATCCATAATGGCCTTCTTAACACTTTAGAATGTTCAATTTGTTCCTTCAAGACATACTGCATCCAACTCTTAGATAAAAACAATCCAACTCAACCTCATTATATTGCCAACATGATGAATCTTAGCAATATTAATTTCACTTGCATGGTACAAATGCTTTCTCCAAGTATGGGGAAGGATGACACTTTATACCTAATAATAAATAACAATGAAAGATACTTCAAATAGGCAAAGTTCCTTGATTTTTTGTCATTCTCTGGGTTTCTTATATAAAAAATGTCATGCCCTATATTTATTTATTTGATAGTGTGTTTCGACAATCAGTCAAAGTAAGGCAATCAAAATCTCTCTCTACCAACTAAACTACTAGCACACAACATTAGCGCAAATGAAAATCATGCATATTCCATGGCAAAACACATAACGGACCCAAAGTAATCCAAAATGAATGCTTTATAAATTGAAGAACGTATGCATATAATAGCAAGTATTCCACTTAAAGAGCAAAATTCATTGTTGATTAAGCTTCTGAAAACCCTTTCTGCTAAAACGAGAGGTTAAAGATTCTCCTCCACTTTTCAATAGTTCAATCATTTTAATAAACTTGTAGTCCTGTGACGCGGAGCTTGAGGGGCCTACTGAACCAACCAATTAGTACAGTCGGAAGTGTCCCGGTCCAACAGGAGGTTGGACAAGCCCATTTCTCGATACCATAGGGCGAGAAGTACCATCGTAGGCCTTCGTTGCCTATTCTATTTGCCACTCCTTCTCCCTTACCTTTTTTGTTTGTCACCCAAGGGAAGGAGCCCTCCCTTCCTATTCTATCTCCTAGCAATTATATATTTGTTGTTTTGCTTGTGATTAGTTTTTTTCTTTCATATTTCAAATTTCTGTCCATGCCAACCACTGGGATTGTTTTCCCTTCTAGGGATGTATCCGAAAGCGATGAGGTACTCCAGCTGTAAATTGCTCGAGGTGGTGATCTTCTCTAAAGGTTCAAAGGGTGCTCCAGTTGTAACTCGGTCCTGCGAGGATACCTTCTTCCCCAAATCCCCTCTGCAGTCCACCTTCCCCTGTTTTCCTTACCACCAACCCTATTCCCCGCTCCTTGTTGCTGTCAACATTCCTACAACACCCACACCTACTACAACAAGACCATCCCTCCCTCTCAGTCTGCTGCCATCAGCCCTATGGCCTCCCAGCCAGCTATCACCACCCTCTTACCAGTTGTCTTGTTGTCGCCACCCCTCCTCCCTACCTTCTGGTATTGCAATCACACCATTCCAAGCCTCCAATTGCACCCCAACCTCCAACCAACCCCTCTATTTGTTGTCCAGCCGCCATCCACCACCTTCACCATCGCCCTAGAGTTTCTTATATTTGTATCATTATTTTTGTATTGCCAAGAACCTTTCTTTGTAACCCTTTTGAATTTTAGCAATAATATTTGTATTTCTATTGTGGTTTGGGTTAACTTCGGTATCATCGAGTGATTCACCGTCAATTTATTTTTCCTAAATTTCTTCTGAAATGTAAAGAGTTAGGAATAAAGTTCTTTTCTTCTTTTTTGCCTCAATATTTCCTCTAAACTAAACTGTGCTAGACTTACTAATAAAGTAAATCCATTAACTTAAGTTTCAACCTTTATGGTCTTTCCTTTTTTCTTTTCTTAAAAAACAATAGATAGACGGCTGTGTATAGATATAAGCCGCAGCAGTATTTCAGAAGCGCAAGTAATAACATATAGGCTATTCGATTAATGATCTAGAGTTCAGAGTTACGTGTTTTAAGGATCTTAAAATCTAGGATAAAAATATTTTCAGTTTCAAAAACAAAAAAAAAGGGTAAAAAAAAAAACTTCATTAGGAGCAATAGATCATATGACACAATGTAATAACTGCTGAAATCGCACCTGAGACCTAATGTAATTGATGAGCTTAAGCGAACCATAGAAATCCAGCCGTAAATCCTTAATGATGCCACGTAAATCAAAAGAATGCACGAATATACAGTGCTCAAACAATCTTTCTGTAGAATCGTATCTTAAGTCGCAGAAAAGGCACAGGTAATCGGACGATGGGTCCTCCTCATCAGATTGCCAATCGTCCCATACTCCTCCCTGCTCTCCTTCCTCCTCCTCCTCCACTTCCTCTTCCTCTTCCTCTTCCTCGAGGCTGATAGACTTCGTCTCCATGGAAATTTTGTTCGAGCTGCTAAACCTCACAAAACCCTAGTCACTGGTTAGGAGACTAATTAGGTGCTGAAACTGAAAACGAGAATCAACCGACAAAACCATTGGTTCGCCAAAACCGTTTTAAGGGTTTGGCTGGAAACCAGTTTATTAAAAAAATAGTTGTAAAGCTGTTAAAAATATTCTATTGTTCGAAATATTATGATAGTAATTATAAGCAAAATTGTAGCTAGAAAGTTGTCACTGCATCTAGTCAGAAATAGTAAAAAAACACAGTTTTTAGCAGCAGCTTTGCAAAATTCAGTTTACCGATACAAACAAAACAATAGTCGCACCGCTGCCCCAAAGAGATCCAAAATCTATTACGATAAAAACAGTTCGTATTTCTTATTTTTGTCTTAATCTTAATGATGATCATAATATTAAATTATAACACTTAAATTTATAATTACCATATTGATTTATTTTTATAGATATTATGATAATGTATAGATTTAAAAGTTATAATTCCATAATTTTATGAAATATTATATAAATAAATTTTAACAAAACTATTCATTTTTTCCACATTTTCATGATACATTGTATAGATAATATTAAAAAAAATAATTTTCCCAACATTAAATTATAACTAAATAATAATAATTATCACATTATATTGATAAGTGAAAATTTAAAACTCATTCTAGAGCTTTAGATTTTCATTAAAATTTTTTAATTGCATGAAAATGCTTTTCAAATTCTCATAATTATTTTTTTTCCACATTTTGGTTTATTCCTTTTTATTTTATTTTATTAAAGCAAATATTATATATGTCTCCAAGTGAAAAGTGCTAAAAAAAAAGTTAAGTTTATTAATAACAAATTGTTTCAAGAAGTTATTAAAATAAAGTTTCATGAACTTATATGTCAATATTATTTTAATAATCATTAATTTAAAATCTATAATATTTTTTTCACTCAAATTACTAGCATTCACACAAAGCCGAAGAGATCATCTCTTTCTTCCTCTTTTCTGAAGATTCATATCGCTTCACATAAAGTGTCATAATAACAATAAATGCATTTACATACGTACTATCCAATTCCTATGCATTTATATTTTTTGTTTTTTAAAGATGGTTGATGGGTGGAACAGCCAACCACCCTTAGCTCGCAACCCGTGAGGTCTGGGTTGGACCCATGAGCCTAACCACTCGAGTACCATCCCCATATAGCATCAATCGTCTGGGAAAATTCGAGCCCCAGACCAGAGGGGACTTACAACTGACGAAAGAGATGCCATCCCATTTATAAATGAAAAGGCCTATTCCACTTTTCATTAGTTAAATGGTGGGTATTTTTTATGTGCTATGAAACTTTTTGGCTGGTACAAATATAAAAAAGCAAAAGTTAGGCATTAGATATGTAAATACATAGGAATTGGGTGACATATATATAAACGGCCCTTTTTTATACCGTTAATTTTCATCCATGGAGATATTATTTACCTTCTTCTAATGGGACTCATAATTTCATCAAACTTAGGCTAAAATGAACATAAAAACTCTTAAATTTCATTGAGATGTGTAGAATCAATCAACTTTTATATTACACTCATCTCAAACCAAATTCAAAAATTATAGGGACATATCATGGTAGATAAGTAAATACATATGAATTGTGTGGTATGGATGTAAATGCCCATTCTAAACCCAACTTGTTTGGACTATCATTTATTCAAATCAGTCCATCCAAACCAATGTTATTAAAATATACACCAATGAAACTTCCTTGCATAAACAATATCATCATAAAAGGAAGAAAATAATGCAAATACTTTTAATAAGTAATAATATAAATTTCACTTGTATTTCATGAAAATTGAAAATTGGCAGCATAGAATATCATCCACAGGATGTTCAGAACAACTATTACTTGTAGTTTATGGAATGCAAATGCAGTAAAGGATTTCTGAAATGTTTATGGATAGAAAACAATATACAGACATCAGTCAGATGGCAGCATGGACTTCAGTCCTTAACTCCGCAGCTGAGGCAGCTAAAGAACCTCCATTTTTTCTGCAAAGAAAAAATAAGAGAATTGCCAGAACATATTAATGATTATGGGATTAATCTGTCCATAAAGATAAATTTTGACGTTGAAAGTTTAAAATAAGAAGAATCAGAGAACTTAACATACTTAAAATAGTTTTGATTAGTAGTAGTAGTTCAAAGAAACAAACCTTCTCATGATTTGGAGGTAGGCAGAACAATGTGAGTGAAAAAGTTTGTTAATAATATCATCGATATTAATTATTCCATGAGATTAAGCATTGAGATGGTTCTCCTTGCGAGGGAGGGCTAACACGACTTCATAGGTTGTCGAAGAAGTTGCGAGGAAGAGTTAAGTATGGATAATACCATTCTTCTCCTGTGGAAGAAGGCAAGTGGGGGAAAAATGTAATGCTGAAATATTTGGGATGCCGCATAAGATGATCTCATGTGAGAGAAAACAATACAACCATTGGATGATAGATGATTATGGTTAAAGAACGTTGAAGAGCTCACTATGGTTGTCTAAGAAGATGCTCCTAGATTTGAAGGTAATCACAATCATGAGGCAATAGAAAAGATGGCGGCAGAAGATCGAGGAGGCCAATGAGGATTGCCAAAAAGATAGATCCTCCTTCCAAAATGCGCAGACATCAAAATTCTTAGAATTCCAAAAGTAACCCATAAGAGCCTTAGCCAGAAGTTAGGGATCCAGAATTCTCCTAAATTTGGGTTGTTACAAAAATTATCTTAATAAGCGGAGTTGTAGTAGTCTATTTATAGATTTTAGGAGGGACGTACAAGATCCTTATCAACAATATATAGAAAATTATCTTATTCCTGATAAAAAAATAACTAAAACCATGCCTTGCACGATAAGAAAGTGAATACACGATCTTTCCACCAATTTGGCTAAACCAAACACATGGACTTAGGATTGCATACAACAACGATTGCCGACGATGATTCTACACAATGAACTAAATACACCATCTTATACCTAGACATTGCAAGTTCTATGAGGCACGTTAAAAAATTCAGAAAAATATATTAACAAACGAAAAGAAGCCAAAAAGGTTTATGGCTAAAGTATAGGGAGAGGGAAAAAAAAAGATAATGATAAACCTTCATTTTTATCAAAATATCCATATCCATGAAAGCAACCATTCATCACAACAAACCTGCAAAATGGTAGCCTATTGAGGTCACATGAACTCCGGAGAACCAAAAAACATAATAACAACTCATTGAAAAGGCCAACTCATCAAGTTGATGCTATTGATAAGAGCTTTCCAAGGTCGGGATAATTCAGTGTTTCCAAAAAGGTCGGTGATGGCAACACTAGAGCTTTCCTTGGCATGATATGTGTGCAAGCAAAGTATAAAGTTGGTCAAGTCTATGTAATCTAAAAAAAGTTGGTTCAATTTGGTTGAGCGATGCATGGATTTTCAGATTTGGACTTTCTAATGGAGCATTGGAAACTTAGTAATAAGATGATCCTTTGGTGTGGTTTTTAATCACTTCAAATTTGCTCGGTGCAAGTTAATTTTTGAAGTGATAATTGATTTGATGAAGTTGCTTAAAAAGAAGAAAGCAATAGGAGATGAAGTTGCTTAAAAAGGAGAAAGCAATGTGACAAGCGATGTAGTAGGAGACGAAACAAACTATGGACGAAAGGAAACATTCCAAACCATGGAGAAGGTAATGGAGTTGCATTTTTTATGTAGAGTTAATAAGAGGCGTACCATAAACAATAATCAATCTTTAAAAGGATAGAACTTCTAATGTTATTTTGATAACTAATATTATAAAGTTTTCTTTATTTTATAATTGGGTTCTACAATTTTATATAACCAATAAAATTGTATTCTTTCTTATCTTATTGGCACATCTGCACTATCTCAAAGGGTAGTGAGATTTTTTGAATTATATCAACTTGTAGAGATCCTTACTTTCAAAGAAAATTTTAATTAAGTTGTCATACAAATCACCCTAATCTTATTATTAATTAAATTATAAAACTTCACTCTTGCCCCCAAAAGAAGATATATCCTTTGCGTGTCTAATACATATTACCAATTGATTGATCCATAGAACCATAAGAGAACTCTTTGTCGCCCAATTGAATGAATCCTAGGCAAGGTTGTTAAAATCAAAGCAACCATTGAATCGGAGGAAGTAGATATTCAAAATTCAAACATTCAATCGAGGTTGAACCAGAAAACTTAGTAAATATTAAATTATTTTATTATGATTTAAATGATGAAATAATATAAATATACGATAAAACTTTCTATGAAAATAAAACAAAACTTGAAAAGTTGTAACATTTTTAATAATTATTAAATTAAAATTTAATATAACACTCATCAATATATAATTCTATATATATTATAAATAGATAAATATATATATTTATATATTTTAAATATATTTGAATTTTTTTTTAAATAAATGTAATATAGATATATACATATAAAAATAGTTTATACTTGAAACAAAATTTATGCTTATAATATAATTTATAATAAGTAATAAAAATAAAAATTTATAATATAAACAAAACTTTAATTTTATGATAATATCCCTAGCAACCCATTTAATATTTCTAAAGCTTTCCTGAATTCTTCATTTTTGTAGCTCAACTCATATTGGTTGTTTCAGCACAAATAATTTTTTAGTCCCACATCATAAAAAAAACTTAGCATTTCACTATTTATATTTTAAAAAAAATAGTTCTATACCTTAAGCTCTTAAATCACCTAGGTTGTGGGCATGTAATGAATTAATTTGATTAAATTAATATTAATTATTATATTTAAAAATTTTTAATTTATAATTATTTATTTGAATTAATATAATCTATAAAATTAAGTATTGCATGAAAACTTTTAATAATTTAATTGAGAAATAAGGATAATTAAATAAGTAACTGCATCAGTCGATTCTATATAATCGAAAAGCAAAAATGATTCTTGAAGCTACCCGGACCAAACATATGCCACTTTCTTGGCCAAACTGGTAAAACCTATCAGAGCCCTGTCCAGTTTTAAAATCTTGATCCTAGGGCAATCTAAGGTGTTTTAGAAAATTGGCTTTTAGAAGAAAAGCTTGTTGAAGCTTTGTTGTGAAGTCGGAAATTTAAATTGAACCATATTATTATAAGAGTGTCTCGAGCATGCAACCATTATGGGAGCTTTTAAGGGATTGAAGATTGCTACCCAAGATTAACAACTTTCTTATGAACTTATAGAAGATGCAATGTCAATGATTTCATAGTAATGAGTACATCTCAAAGTTGTTAACCATCGTGACGGTGTAATTTAAGATATACTCCATTCGAGGATGTCATAACCTTGCTTTGGGAATGAGGATTTGTTAAATATTTTGATAGACTTCTAAGATTTTTTGGCCAAAGGCCTATATGATGACTAAAACTTATTATGAAATAAGTCATGTTGAATCCACCAAAAATTTATGATATACATTCAAATGTAGCCTTACTTAATGATTGTATCGAGCTATGTAAGAAGTCATATTAAATCCATCAAAAATCAAATGATCATTTTTGAGTTGCAATGCATAAATATACAAGATTACTAACAAAGTTGAGGATAATGTAAGCATTGGGTTGGCTTTACCTTTTCAAAGTATTTTTCCATTCACGTAAATTCATGGGACTTGCTCTTTCAAAACAAATCTTACGGAATTTTAGTGAGGAACTTATTGAGGCAATGATGGAAAAGTGACAAAACTCTGCATAAGTAGCAAGTGATGTTGCTGGCTCAAAAGAAAGGATTGATGTTATGCAAAGCTTGAACATTGAATTTATATCTTTAACATGCTTAGATGTCAATGATGGAGAAAGTAGCTTGAGCATCCATTATTCTTAACTTGAAGTCCACAGTTATCAATACCATGTTATCATCCCAAATGGCCATGCTAAGATGCTCCTTGTATAAGACATAGCTCCATGATGATCGAGGGTTCAAAAATCATTTAATAATGATGGTTGCTACAAAATAGTGTAAGGTTGAAGCTCATCAAGGGAAAATGGAACTCTAAAAAAGCAAAAGCTACCCATACAAAGATGTGCATTAACTAGTTTGAAACACTCTGATCAACAATAGTGAGAAGATACCACCCAACTATAATCAAGTAAAAAATATTGATGCCAACAACTTTTTGAAGCTATAAATTGGGCCGCCTTCCAAGTCTTAATATGCTCCCTATGGAAACTTTGTGATTTATTTTCATGATGTTGTTGAGAAGATAGATTATCATTTATAGGAGGGTGAGCTAAAAGAGCTTGATTGGTCAACAATGTACTAATTAGGGGCTCTAAGTTCCTTACAAGTGGATGATCATTAAACATCACAATTGTTAGTCGAAGAAGGTGGAAATGCTCCCATGCACAACAAAAACTTGTGTGCTAAAGTTGAGTCAACTGGAAGATATCTCAATCACTTTAGCTTTAAATGTGAAATAAAATAAGGAAAATAGGATGTGTCGAGTGCAATATCCAAAAAAAAAAAAAAAAAAAAAATAAAAAATCTAGCTTGAAAAAAAAAACCTTGAATAAAATAACTTTCATTTATAGTAAATGTGAATTATAATGGGTCGACCTTCCCTGAACCTGAAAAAAGTGCAATACAAAGTGAAATTAGGTTGCAGTTAGCATCCTCAATGTATATGATGCGACAAATCAAGTATCAAGTTAGTCCTTCTTCACGAGATAAAGGCAACATGACCTGAATGTGGTTAACGAAGTGATGCTAAAAATTCATGGAGGCTACTAAGAATGATCAAGATGGTCCTACTTAAGATGAAGCTAAGAAAACATAGGGGTGACCGATGAGGCAATGCTAAAAAGTTTGATATGCAACTAAGAATGATTAAGATAGTTTTCCTCTTGGAGATGGTCACTTGAACTTAGGATAGCAAACAAGACAATGTTGAAAAATTGGTGAGACTATTAAGGATAGTCAGGATGGACTTCATATTAGAGGAGAAGCCAGCACATCCTTAAGTTAATGAGTGAAGAAAAATTTGAAAGCTCAAATAGGCCATTAAGGATAGCTAGGATTTTCTTCTTACTTTAGATGAAAATGGCATGAACTTAGCGAAATAGACAGAGCAAATTTGAAAGGTAAGGAATCTATTGAAAAAGGCTAAGATGATCTTTCTCTTGAAGGAGAAGGTGATACAATAGAGAAGATGGATAAGACAATGTTGAAAGGTTGCGAAAGACACTTAGGATGGTTAAGATGATACTCCTCTTGGAGGAGAAGCTAACACAACATAATTTCGACAAAAAAATGTGATTATAAAAAACTAGGAAGCCACTTAGATGGTTGGCATGATTCTCCTCTTTAAATGAGAAGGTGTAGCAAACCTGGGGCAACAAACAAGTTGATGTTGAAAGGTCGAGAAGGTCATAGGGGATAGTTGAGATCATTCTCCTTAAGGAGACAAAAAATGGTGTCAACTTAACGTGACGAACAAGATGACACAAAATTGTAATGGAGGCCACCAAGGATCATTGGGATGTTCCTCCAGAGAGCAAGAAACATCATCTATCATGGAACACAGAGAATTAACAAGAACTTTAAGTGGAGATTAAAACAAAAAAGTTCTTGTACAATTTAGAAGTTCAAAATATCCTAAATGAGTAAAATTGGAGACAATTTATAACAAATAAAATAGTCCATGCATTCCCAAGATTGAAAAATGATTGCATAGTCCTAACACTAGACAATCTTGAGTTGGAGGTGGCCCAACAACATCTACCATCAGTGCAAAGCCAAAATATTTCTTGAAGATGTGATTCAATCTCTGTTATTCATGTGTTTATTTGAGAAATAACAAGATATGATCAAAATCTTATGTGACGATGTTGTGTAAGCAAAAGCTGTATATAAGTGCATGAATAAGGGGCCACTCTCAGAAAATCCTCTCAAGAATACCTCTCTGGAGAACATCTCGGGCAATATTAAATCTTCACTTGAATTAGCTTGCCACTAACATTATCATTATCAATGACGAACCAAAATAGTTTGGAAAGAAGCTAGGTAATATATGTAACAATAATGATGTTAAACTAGAGTTCTCTACTATCCACTTTCCTCAAACTAATGACCAAGAAAAAGCGATGAACCAGTCGATTATCAATCTATTAAAGAAAAAGATCTCTGACAATCTAGTAATTGATTCAATAAAGCCCATTCCTATTGAACCACATCTTCTATAGTGACAAGGAAACCTTTCCTATGGTAACTGTGGAAACCTTTCTCACTTGCCTTTGGATGTGAAACATTAATCCTTGCTAAGATCTTTGTCCCACAATCAAGACCAAAAAGACTTTCTTCATGCCCATTGAGAGAATGCCCAAGTCAATCGAAGTAATCAAGAGCAACATAAGTCAATTTGATTTGTTGGAAGAAACCAAAACCAAATCTCTCTCTTAAAGAGAACTTCACCCATAATGAAATCTTGTACAAGTCTTAAAATCCAACAAGAATTTAAACTTTTTCACATTGAAACTCATGTCCATGTCCAAATGATTCTCTATCAAATAGATGATCATTTGCTTCTACATGAGTGGCATGCTAACTTAATCTCAAAGTTAAGCCATATTGCAATAGGTTTCTCTATCACATAATACTGAAATCATGTATCCCATATGAACCCATTATGGTCACATGCACCGAAAAAACGTTGGACATTGACTTTGCGAATCCGGATTTTGATTAATATGTCGATGCCTTCTTTAGCAACCACTGTTTTCTACAAAGCATCCTCGACTAATTCAACTAATCATGCATGTTGATTATTTAGCATTTTTTTGACTTGGAAACGTTCAAAGTTCTCTAATGTTATCAGTTCAATAGATGCATCACATGTTGTTTCAATTTCAAATTTCTCATAATGGATGCACTAATTTTAAAACTTCCTACCAACTCTCGCTTTAAATTTTACTTTGCTCTATCGTTTCTCCTTTGGTTCAATAAAAACTTGGATTTGTAAGAAGCTTTCCTTTGATACAAACTGAGTGCCCACATAAGCACTATTCATGGCATTGTATTCACAATGTCTAAACTTCAATAACAGAAATTTAATTAAAAATTTGTAATATCTAGACATTTTTCAAAAAAATCATTAAACAAGTAGCATAAAATTTAAAAAAATAGAAGCAAAGCACAAATTATTAATTTTACAATACCAAAGTAGCCTCAGTGTTGTGATCCTTGCACTCCAAATAAAATATAAAGCAAAAAAAAAGCCCAGATATGCATGATTGAAGAACTTGCATTAACTTCCCCCTTATCAATGTCACTTTGCATCAAATGCTTGAGCAATATCAACTCAGAACGATTTGTGCTCAAACATAAGTAGGCAAGACCACATGAGAGGCAGAGTTAAACAATCCATTCTCATGACATAAAAGAAAGCCACTCTTCATCCATTACAAGTTGAAGGATTTTTCATGAGTAAAGTGCCAAAATAGGCCTCCGATTATTTACATGAAGCCATTTTAATCTCAGAATCTATAAAATTGCTAAATTGGTCTCCCAATTTTTTTTATGAAAATTTACATACATAACACACAATTCTTATGTATTTACATATCTAACCACCCAAAGTTTGATATTTACATTTATAACACCTTAGGGACATAAAACTATGAATCAAAAGGTGTAATTCTGTGATGCTAAAGATTTGAGTAGTATGTATACTTTGGGTGTTAGGTATATCAATACATAAAAATTGTGCGGTATGTATGTAAATACCTCAATTCAAGGGGAGCTACAATAATTCTCACTTCAAGGAATTTAGAGACTATTTTAGATTGATACTTTTATAGGCGCTATAACTAAAATGGTCTCCTGCCAAAAAAAACCCAGGGATCATTTTAGCACTTTTCTCATTTTTTTCATCCTGGCATTTTTCAATGATTTAAAACAAGAGAGATAATGTAAACATAGAAAAGTTGGATCATTACCATGGTAGAATTCTGCTCTGTTCGCGGGTGAGGAAAATTGAGGAACTCCCTTTCATGCCCTAGGCTTGAGCTGCTCACCTCAACCTTCTGCTGCTTTCTCTTTGCACGAGCATGGGTGAAAACCATGGAGTAATCAGGCGTTCCTCCTCCGGCTTTCTGATCCCAACCTCCAAATTGTGGCACAGCAACCCAACCTTCTTTCTGAACATTTAAATCCACAGCTCAATAAATAAACAATTCAAGTGAGAAAATGTAAGAGAAAAGAAAATTTTAAGCCGTTAGAAGAAAATGGATTGCGACAAGGATCGCAGCAAAGAGGCAACTCAAATTCATGAAGAGCAAAAGTTACAGAGATTTTTCAACAACGTAAGTTTACGAAAGGCAATCAACCATTGCAAAAGGGGATAGATCACAGAAAACTGAAGGAATTAAAGGCAAAATATTGTAAATAAATGGCGTTTGCTATTGTTTTGTGCCATTGCTTTCATACAGATCCTTTTTTCTTAGATCTAAAGGTACCTCCTTGCGGTAGGGATTGATTGGAGTGAGGGCCATAGTTGGAGAGGGAAGGGGGGGTGAATACGGAGGAAGACAAGGCGAGGGCTTTGGAGAGCGAGATAACTGAAAGCTCTAAAAATACTTCGATGGATCCATTCATGGCGGGTTTCTCGCTAACAGAAGGGTGGGAGAGAAGGAGAAATGAAGACGGAGGGTAATACCTGTTTCCATACTAATAAAAGAGTCTCCTTTAGCTTATCTTCCCAATTCTTAGCTGAGAAATGCTATGCGCGGAAATGGCTATGGTTTATAAACTATTTTGAATCTTTTAACCAAACTTAACGTCCTTTTAAAAATGGTTCCATTTATATTTTCAAAAGTTTTGCATTTTTTTGGATATTTACATAAATACCATACAAAATATTGATACTTACAAAAAACCACCCCGGTGATTTTTTTGAACTAAACTGATATATTTACACGTGCCACAATGTAATTTCTCGATTAATATTTCATCATGTTTATTCGAATTGTTAAATAAATAAATTTGAACAAATTCTCGAATCTCTAAAGTTAAATAAATAAAATTTGAATGTAAGATAACTTATTTATTAATGTTAATGAAAAAATTTGTTTGTTGCTAAATAAGTAATTTATTAATTGTTTATACTTATATGATATTTTATTTAAATAAATTTGATTAAATAAAATTTATTGAAATGTATATTTACTAGTAACGTTATATATATATTATAATATCTTCTTATTTTTTATTTCATTAAATTAATTTTTAACACTTATTTATGTTATTTCATTGCATGAAAACTTATTTATAAATTATATAATATTTTATTTATTTTGTATAAATTAGTTAGATCTAATTTAAATCTTTTTTAATGGCTTGTTTATTTATATTTATAAAATAATTTTTTAGCAATTATAAATGAAAGTTTAAATAATTATTCAAATTTTTATGTGAAAAGCCAAATATAAATCAAATTATAAATTTTCTATAACAAATTAAATATTTTTTTTGAATTTATAATTTATATATTAATATAAACAAATCAGTACAAATCAAATATGATCAATTATGCTTATATTGTAGGAACTTCAATCCACACCATTCTCTTTCACCATAAAAAATAATTGAAAAGTAACTAATCATAAGTGCCAAAATGGTATCATCATGCTAATAAAATTGTAAACTAAATACAAGTAGGTCTCTTTTTTTTTTCATTTTATTTTATTATTTAATTTTTTTTATTTTATTTATGTTACAATTTGAAATAAAATAATGTTTTTTAAATTAAAAATAAATATACTTAAATTTAAAACCACCTCTTAATTGTTTTTAAAATAAAAATAAAACAAATTTATGTAAAACATATATTAAACAAAAATAAAACAAAATTTTACATATATACCTCAGAAGTCTTATATATTTACAAACCCGACGCCTAAATTTTAATATTTACACTTATATCACTACTTTCGCAAATCAAGCATGAAAATGTACACTTCCAAGAAGTTAGTATATTGATCGCATTTTTGATGTGATATTAAAGATTTAAGCATTACATATGCAGATATAAAAATTTGAGTGCTAGATATGTAAATAAATAGGATTTGTGTGGTATGTATGTAAATGCCCCCAAAATAAAATAAAAAAAAGACCATAAATGGCCCTTAAGCTACTGTTCAATCAGCACTAAAAGACAAGGTAAAAGACCTACTGAACATTTTTAAAATTTTCAAAATTTCTAGCTCTGATTCATTCAGAGAGAAGGAATCATAACAATTGTATCAAATATAAAATATAGAACTAGTCAACAAAAATGCTGGTTCAGCATTCTGTCAAAGTCTTAGAAGCTCTGCATCAATTTCCAATCATTTTATTCAGCCATTACACCTTCTAAAGTCTGAACTAAACAGCATTTTACACTGCACAATAAACTGTTCATTCTTTGTTACAGAACAAAATACACATTTCTTACAACATTAGAAAGCTGATTATAGCTTCTTTCTTCAATGTAAGACAACAGCCAAAATACAGTGACCAATTCAATCAAAAACCAAATACTGCATCCCTAAAGATCATTTTGAATCCAACAAAGACTAAAAAGGAACCACCTTCATTCATTACTCGTGAGGACGGGCCAGCCAGAGAGAACTCAGCGCGCGAAGCCGAGAGAAGTAGTCGTTAATGGCGAGAAGAGCTCGAGCGGACTGCCGAGTGGTTAATATCCTATGCATTTGTTGCAGCGTCTGCTGTCGGAGGTTGTCGGCCTGAGAACGAATATAAGATGGTTCTTCAATATTGAGTTGGGATCAGCAAAAAAAGCGGAAATGATGGTGGCTGAGAAAAGCAACTTCAATATGTTCACCTGATGAAGGAAGTTTTCTAGTGTTCCAAGCTTCCCCATGGCCATGGCCATCTGTCCCATATAGTTCGCGACATTACCAGAAGATCCAGAGGATCCCAGAGATCCAGCTAGAGTTTCGCCCAGAGATTGCTGCAGAGCTTCCATGCCTTGTGAAAGAGCGTCCTCTGCCTGTTGTGACGACTGTTGAAGGTTGCAGAGTCCCACCACCTGCTGTTCAGTTAGGGGCTCCAGCTGATTTACCAGTAACTGTAAGGTTTCCAATGACAATTAAATTAGTTTATAAAGAATGACGATCTCTGATCGATATCGGGTAAAATAAAAAGACGAACTTCATTTTCATCGTTATAAAATTAAGATTTACATACATACCACTCAACTCTTATGTATTTACATATCTAACACCTAAACTTGAATTTATATATATATATATGGATGCCACCTTTCCTATGCATGAAAATGTGTATATCAGATATCATGGATAGAATTGCAAAAAAAATCTAATGTATAATAGATTGAATACCTGATGTGTAACTCAGCTGGAATGAAAGGATGATTCAAAATGGCACCTCTAATAGTTGAAACAAGGAAAATGATGAACATATAATATTTTGCTGAACCATGAAACTAACGAAAAGAATGAATATGCTTTCAAATATGAGATTTGGGGCCCGTTTGGGGCAGCTTATAAGTGCGGGCGGCGTTTTCAAAAAGCCGCCGTACCGTTTTGTTCACGCGTTTCACCAGCTTATCCGAAACCGCGTTTGAGTTTTTACACTAAACGCAGGCCGCGGGCCGTGTTTCAGGATATAAGCAGCTTATCCTGAACGCACAAGCTGCCCCAAACGCACGCTTAATTCAAACATGAATAATAGAGAAAAATGAATGTTCAATATCACCTTGAGTAGTTCGGAAGAACGGAAGCCACCAAGCCAAAGAAAACACCTCTCCGCGGGCGTCTTCCACATGCCCGAGAGCATGTGAAAGACGTCAGCCTTAGCAGCAATGCCCTTCAATCTAAATATTTCGTCAAAGTGTGCCGTTACTCCATCAACAATTATGCGTAGATCGCTATCGCCTGCGTGAGCATTCACTGCAGCCCTCAGTTCATTGATCTGCCGGTTATGTTCTTCGAGCCATCGTGCATATTCTATGTCAAATGCCAACGCTCCTGAAAACCAGTACATCTTCTTAGCATTGAACAATGAGGTTGGAAGGCATAAGGAATAAATATTAGTAAGAATTACATAAAAACCACTCAATTCCTATGTATTTACATATCTAACACCTAAGCTTCAATTTTTACATACATACCATCTTGCTTATGCATAAAAAGACATATATCACTTTTTAAAAGTTAAAATGGTGGTATAATTGATGTGATATAAAAGATTTGAGTGGTGTAAATGTAAAAAGTTAAAGTTTTAGCTCTAAATCATTTGCAGATTAAATTTTATGCAGTTGTAAAAGGATTACTCTATCCTTAGAAGACTCTGTTTAACTTCAGTAGTTCAGCTCCCTTTTCGTGAAAACTAGTGGCAGGATGAAGACACGAACATGATAAAAAAGTGTAATTCGACGTTTAATGTTGCTTCTGTACATTATGCTAACAACAATAACAGGAAGAGCTTAATTCCCACAGACAAGTACGTCATCCGCCCATGCGTCTTAGTGTTCATTTGGTTGCTTGAATTGAGAAAATATGTTTTTAATTATGATAAAATTTTGGTCATTTGGTTGGTTGAAGTTAGAAACCAATCAGGATTTACAACTCCATAAACAACTTCAAAATCCCACAGGATTAAAGATTTCATTCACACATTCAAAATGAGCGAAAAAAAAAAAAATCATTAAAACATTAGCCAATGAAAGCATGCCTTGTATGAATTTAATGCATAAAAAAAATAAATATAAGAGAGAAATTCTCTGTTGTTACACAAATAATAGTATGAGTTGGGGTTGGATAGTGGATACACAGCATGCACTATTAAGTGGAAAATTAGAAGATAATATACCATTTCCACCAACTGAATGAGACTGATCCCCTGAGCTTGAAATAAAAATACCCTGCAAATAGTTGTGAATTAAGAAACATATCAATGGAAGGTCGTTCCAACATTAAAGATGAAGCAGAAACAGCGCATACCTGTTGCCGTGCCCTTTGTAGCTCCTGCTCAAGTTGAGTGAGCTTCAACCTACTATTTTCTAGCTGTTGAACATAAGCCTGATACACAGATAGATCCATGGCTGAAATGTAAATTTTATTAAAAAAAAACATGGAAAATGCTGCTAGATAAGACAAAGCAAATTGTCATACCATGCAAATCATAAATAAATAATGAAAAATAATAACTTCAAAGTTTGATAGGACCAAGATGAATATGCAAAATTTATCTGTACAATGAGTGCACATCAGAAAAAACAGATTTTACTTCTATACAAATATAATTGTGGCAAAAAACCCCTACTAGTTAACCGCTTTGGAGAAGAATGTCTACATGATGACAGTCATTAGAAAAAAAAAAGATAAATTATCAGAGTTTTTATTTATTCATATGATCAATCAGGAGAAGGAAAATCCACGAATAATCAGGAAATGTTTAAATGGCAGAAGTCAAGAAGTTGTCAACATAGAATATGGAAAAAGGCGTGTTTCATATTGCTGCTAACAAATCATAACAGGTATCCTGTTGCCAGATTTTTAAAAAAAATTAATTAATTAAAAGAAAAAAATAAAAATAAAAATAATAAACAGTGCTTCTCTTTTCATTGAACATGTCCACTTCATGATGTGCCTAAAGGACATTAAGAAACTGTATATGCATACTTTCAGTGGTCTAAAAAAAAAAAAGAGGCTTCTGATGTGTCAATAAGATATCTGACAGCAAGGAACTTGATGCCTGATGCTTAATATTGGGATTTAAGATGGAGCAAAATATTGTGGAAGACCGAATCACTCTATGTTCAGTTTTTGTTTATTGTTTTATTTTATATTAGAAAAAAAAAACATATTTGCTATTTTAAAAATAGATTTTTTTTTTATTATTGAATATCTCACAAGTCAACTTATGTGGCGGTGGCGATGACAAGCCAGCGATGTGTGTTACGGCAAGCCAACAGCAGTCATGGTGGCAGAAAATTGGGGCCAAAAATTGCGGCAGCAACAGTTGCTAAGGTGACAATGGCTGGAATGGTGACAGAATTAATGGTGGTGGGGATGACTCACAGGATGGTCAAGTGTTTATGTTGTTAAAATAACAAAATCACCTAAAATCGTTTTGATTATTTTTAAAAAATAATTTAATTTATTAGAAAAATAAGTCACAAAACCTCAAAAATATTTTTTAAAAACAAACACAAAGTGGTGTCAAGCATGCTATTAACTACCCATAGGTAAGACCATCTCATCAATCACCAAAAGTTACTCTAATAGATCCTATACGATGTTGTGGGTAATATATGGCAATCAACCAAATTCGGGATTTACTTTACTATTTTGTTTAGGCTTAGTTAAATTTTCTTTAATTTAATTTCAATTAGTAAGATCACCGTTAGTTTCAATCAAGTTCATATTTCTTATATGAAAATGAGTAGATTAAAAAGTTTTTGATTATTTTGCATTGACTTTAAACCAGCGTTTCTACTTTCTAGAAAACAAGAAAGCAAGAGGTTTTCTTCCATGGAATGATTTCAAGAACCCGATAGTGTAAGGCTACTGTATATTTCTATTGAAACCGAGCCCAAGAAACCCGGTTGTATATATATCAAACCTCTTCTACCCTTTTTCATCCTATATCAAAATTTATTTGATGTACTTTAAAAAGTTGATGTATGGTACAGCTCTCTTTAAACAATTCAAATGCAATATTAATGGATGAGCATTAAACCATTTTTTTTCACCATGTTGGTACTAAATTGAAAATCAATAGCTTTCTCTTTTGAAAAAATGATTTGGAATTGAACGAGGAAAACATGTAGAAATTGCTTTATTTGATTTTAAAAATGTGACAAATTAACCGCCACAAATATAGAGATAAGATACTTCACTGCTTGCTAGCTTTTCACAAAAAATAAAAAATAATATATTTCAACTAAAAGATAAGTTATTTCACTAAAACTTTAGGCTTTTCACTATTTATGTAATTGCAGATAAATAACTTACCTCCAACTAACAAAACTTATTTCTCATTTTTTAAATTAAAAATCATACCTTATATTTTAATGAAACATCTTTTTATTGTGAATATCTTATATTTTAATGAAACATCTTACTATACTAATTTCTTAATATGAAAAAAGTGCCACATCACCACATGAGTAGCTAAAGTGGCACCAATTGAAATATGAATAAATTTGGGAATACTATTTCGTCAATTATTCATAACCAAATCCTTAGAATATGAATTCTCTCCTTCAAAAATTTTGTTTATTAAAGGTCATCGTGCACCTCAGTTTATATTGAATCTCCTTTTCCAGATGCTTTTCTATTTAATACCCATCACATGTATGTCTCTTAGTAGCAGTTCTTCGGCACAGTAGCATATCCTAATTGACTCCATGCTCTCGCCAAGAAGAACAACTTGTTGAGAAGGGAGCTCACAGAGGTGCCCGAGTTCATAAAGCTATAAAGGAGGCTGACTTACTGAAGAGGTTGATTCCATGACATCACCAAGAAGCTCTTCTTTGAGAAGACAGTAAGGACAATAGTGTTCTCAGATAAAGTTTGGTAGAAGTGCCAACATAAGAGCAGTCAAAATGGAGTCGTCCTTGAGGAAAGGCTAGTTTGGCGAAGTGGGTGACATGTCTGAGGCACGCTAATGAAGAAGCCAACATAATGAAGTTTCCAACGTAGCCGAATTCATGAAGTCATTAGTAAAAGAGAAGTTACAGAGAAAATCAGCTTGGAGAAGTCGGTGATATGTTTGGAAGATTCACCATGTAGATCTACCATGTGTTAGGTGCAATGTCAAATTGCATGGAAGGTTGACTCACAATTCTCAAGGAGGTTGGCGAGGGGGTTGAGTTTCGAAGTCATAAGATGTTAGGGAGCTAATTCATATATGAGAGTCAATCTCATCATTAGTTGATTAAGTGCTTGCCACTTCTTAGCTATCTCTCATCTTTTTAGTTGTCTACCACACGTATGCTTTTGATAGCAAGTAGTGGAAAAAAAAGTTAGGCATTTATAAGCAACGAGCAAGTCCAGGGAGTAGTGAAACCTATAATTTGCAATAATTTGGTCAACTCTACAAATAAGTGAACTTACATTTTAAATCTAAATCTTACCAATTTAATAAGGTAGAAGGGTGAGTACCGCCTTAATCATGTTCTGTGATGAGTAGAACTTGATTTTTCTTTTTTAAATCACATTAATTATTAGTACTCCTTAATAAAGAGACTGATAGCAACCAATATATTATTTGAAATCTTAGGACGCCAAGCCTTAAAAAGCAATCCCTTAGACAACTTCATAAACAAGCATCTACTTTTCCAATTCTTGGATTTATGTTCTAGTCCTTACATCAATGCGCTTGGGAGCATACATGAATGTACATTCCCTGGAGCCTTCACCACAAATTCTTAGAGATGCTCATATTCCATTTTGCTAGAGACAAAAAATACTAAGGAAACTACTGGCAAAAAATTTTGGCAATACTTAGTAAGAATCAATTGATGGTAACTAAAATTATCAATGATGAAGGGAAGAAAAGAAGTCATGAATTAAACCTAAGCTAGTTTTTGTAGAAAGAATTTAGAATCAGAGAGGTGCTTTGAAAATGTTGCATGCCACGAGAGGGCCTCCTTGGAGAAGTCGGGGAGGATGATAGAGTTTTCAAGAAAGGCGAGTTCAATGAGAACGATGGCTCAGAGAAGTCAACAAGGCAATCAACATTGAGAAGGCCAGCTTTGTGAAGTAAACATGTTCGAGCAAAGTGATGGAACTGATGAATTCACAAAGTCAACAATGTCGCTTATAAAGGAAGTCTCGTTGGTAGGGTCAACTGGCTAAGAAGACGGGCTTCAAAAAGTTAACAATATGATCAGATAAATTTGTCTTGTAGATCCAAGAAGAGTTGTTTGCAGGGAGAAATATTAAACTCCATGTAAGGCTCACTTGAATGAAAAAATATTACATGTTAATCATCCTTATGTGCGGAATGAATGTATTTAGGGTGTAGAGTACACCCTAAATACATCTTACATACACCCAATCTGCATCTACGCTATCCATTATGTAATATCTCCTCCACTTCTGGAGATGCCTAATTTCCCTAGGAAGTTTGTGAGAGGGCTTAGTGACCATATCTTGTCAGCCTTAAAGACTCAATACAAAAGTCTTCTTTGAGACTTGTTTTGAATCGAGATCCCATTGATTGATTTCCACTTCCTTATAAGCTCTTATCTAGCGAGTTATTGAATACATATATGCAGATAGCATACGAAAAACCAAACAATTGCAACGAACAAGACACCACAAATATTAAAACCTGCACGTCTCAATAACATGGTCAATTCTAAAAATAAGTAATATAAAAATCTGTATATGCTCCAGTTATAGTAAATTTTATATTCTGATAAGCCATAGTAGGTAGACTCTTAATTAGTCACCCCTTGGCTAACTTCAAGAAGTATATATTAAAATCCTTTATGTATATTCTATTACTTCTATCCTACTGCACTTGGACGAGAATAGGACTATACCCCCTTAAAGAATTTCACCACCAATAAATTCTTAAAAATGCTCAATTTCCATTTCACCATTTGCTCGAGCGGGAAACTACGAAGAAACCTCAACTAAAAAAGAGTAGCATTACCTAAGCAAAATTTAACTCATAGAAGTTCAAAATTAGAGAAAAAAGAAAGTTGTAGTCTAAGTTTGAAATAATTTTTGTTGCAGCACAACAGTGTCAAACGGGTGATTATCTAATGAAAATAGTCCAAAAGTACTTGTCAATCAATTAGCATCTCTAGTCAAATAACTCAATAGGAGCGCTCAACCTCAACTGGGAATTCATTTGCTATGCAGCTAGCTACATCAAGTTCAATATATAAATGTTATATGTAATTAAAAGTTGTAGCTTGTTCTATAATGTTGGCTTTGATACTCCCCAATAAATAGTTTGCACTTTTCAAACAAGAGTGCATAAGAAAATTAGATGTAATTATGATTCGAAGTCTCATTGAAAATCTCTATGAAATCTCTCAAGGGCATCTTTATTCAAAGGGGTTTGGTTGGGTCCACGTTTCTCAATTCCCTGTTGAAATACATGCTTAGGACTGCTTATTGAGTCTAGGTTTATTTGAATTTAGTTTGTTTCTTGATCTTAGGAGTTAGTTGCAATTTTTTCTTGAATTTTGTTTCATGTTACTTTCTTGGCTGATTTTTAGGTCTTTTCTTGGAAGTTTGTTATTAGCTCCAAGTTTAAATATTGTAAGGCTACACAAAAAGTGTGTGGTTTTGATTTTCCCTTCAATCTAAAGCAATTCTCTTAAGTTTTCTCTTCTTTCTCATTTCAAGAAGCCAACAATTTGGTATCAGAGCTCTCTTCTTAAAGGATATGAGCGTGAGTTTGAGCGGCAATGGAGATCGAAGCTAGTTTCTCCTCAGTTGCTCCACCAGTGTTTGACGGAGACAACTACCGGATTTGGGCAGTCCACATGGAGACGTACCTGGAAGCTTTGGATCTCTGGGAAGCAGAGGAAGAAGACTATGACATTCCTCTTCTCCCTGAAAATCACACTGTAACACAAATTAAAGCATAAAAGGAGAATAAAACAAAGAATTCCAAGGCAAAAGCTTGCATGTTTGTTGTCGTTTCCTCTACGATCTTCACTCGTATCATGTCGTTGAAAATGACAAAAGGGATTTGGGATTATCTCAAATCCAAGTATGAAGGAGATGAAAGAATTCAAGGGATGCAGGTGCTAAACTTGGTTCGTGACTTTGAATTGCAAAAGATAAAGGAGATAGAAATCATAAAAGAGTACTCTGACAGACTACTCAACATAGCAAATCATGTCAGATTATTGGGTTCTTCTCTGGAAGATTCAAGGATTGTTCAGAAAATTCTTGCAAGAGTGCCTGAAAGATTTGAGGCTACCATCACCACCTTAGAAAACACGAAGGATCTGTCAAAGATTGCTTTGACAGAACTCTTAAGTGTTTTACAAGCACAAGAGCAGAGGCGTGTAATGAGGCAAGAAGGAGCCGTCGAAGGAGCTCTTCCAGTCAAGCATCAAGATGATGAAAAGAATAGGAGGCCCAAGAACAAGAAGTTTCAAGCTACAAGTGGACAAAAGAAATATTACCCTTCATGTCGACATTGTGGCAAGAAAGGTCATCCTCCTTTCAAATGCTAGAGAAGACCAGATGCAAAGTGCAGCAAGTGCAATTAAATGAGCATGAAGCTATCATTTGCAAGAATAAAGATCAGCAGTAAGGAGATGAAGCACAAGTGACAGATCAAGAAGAAGATGGTAGAAGATGACCAGCTTTTCATTGCACGAGTTCTGAAATAAGTGAAAACTGACTCATTGATAGTGGTTGCACTAATCATATGACACATGGCAAGGAATTGTTCAAGGAATTGAAGATCACCGAGTCCAAGAAGATCCGAATTGAGAATGGTGAATATATTGCAGTCAAAGGGAAGGGCACCGTAGCCATTGCAAGCTGTTTAGGAACCAAGTTGATCACCGATGTTCTCTATGTACCAGATATTGATCAAAACTTGCTCAGTGTTGGTCAATTAATTGAAAAGGGATTCAAAATGATGTTTATGGAGAAGGCTTGTGTGATAGAGGATGTTACAGGCCAAAGGATGTTTGAAGTTAAGATGGCAGGGAGGAGTTTTTCACTCAATCCAATGCAGGAGCAGGAGGTATTTGGCTCTTTTCCCAATGAAAATTCTGTAAAACATGCCCACTCACTAGAATTTTCATTGATTAATGAGCGTAATGAAGGCCATTTAGATGATCTTACGATAAGGAAGGAAACACTTCGATTTAAAGATGAACAACTTCAGCAATTGGCCAAAGAATCGCGTGCAAGAGATTCAACCATGCGTGAGTTAGCAGACAAGTTAACTGAGACAGCTCAGGCTGCTGAAGTAGCTGCATCTGCAGCTCTTGCTATGGATGAAGAGAGGAGGCTTGCTTACACAGAAATTGAACGACTGACCAATGATTCAAATAAAAAACTTCAAGAAACCATTCTTAAGTTAAAAGAATCAGAAAAAAAGGTTGCAGCATTTAGCAGAGATAGAGAGATCCTGTTCAAACAGAGAGACTCTGCTTTTCAAGAGGCACATTTTTGGCGTTCTACGCTCGCAAAAGCTAGAGAACATGTTTTATTGGAAGCAGTTGTAGTTCGAGTTGAAGAAAGCACCAGAGTTTCACAGGCAGATGCCGAAGCTCGATTAAAAGATGTCGCTGAAAAAGCATTGTTCGCTGCAAAAGAAAAAGAGGATATGTTGACATTTGTGACTGCTTTGCAATCTCAAGTTCAAAGGCAACAAAGTTCCCAAAGTTTAAAGTTCCACAAAACAAGTGTTGGAAGAGAAACTCGAGTCAAGCACAGGCTTCATCAAAACAGTCTCAATGACGAGACATCCGGACTTGGAAGACGATGTCGATAAAGCTTGCTTAAGTGACTCAAAACTCATTCGGGTTTCTAGTGAAAGCATGCAATTGACTACCAATGATGTCAATATTCGTACTATTGTCATTTCTCATAACCCTGTGTTTCATGGAAACACTAAGTATTTCAACATCAAGTTATTTTTTCAAAGAGAAGTGCAGAAAAAAGAATTTGTGACTCTGTTTTACTGCAAATTTGAAGATCAGTTGCAGATTTGCTTACAAAGTCACTTCCAATCAGCAAGTTACAATTTCTAAGGCAAAAACATGGTGTTCGCACATCCTAAAGCAAGGAGTGTTGGAATATATGCTTAGGACTGCTTATTGAGTCTAGGTTTATTTGAATTTAGTTTGTTTCTTAATCTTAAGAGTTAGTTGCTATTTTTTCATGAATTTTGTATCTTGTTACTTTCTTGACTGATTTTTAGGTCTTTTCTTGGAAGTTTGTTATTAGCTCCAAGTTTAAATATTATAAGGCTACACAAAAGGTGTGTGGTTCTAAATTTCCTTTCAATCTAAAGCAATTCTCTCAAGCTTTATCTTCTTTCTCATTTCAAGAAGCCAACATTCTCTAAGATTTTTTTTTAAGACCTAGTCCTCTCTCTCTCTCTCTCTCTCCATTGTTCTCTCTTTTAACTTTATCTGTTTCTCTAATAAAATCTTGATATCTTTCCACAAACAGCTTTAAATCCAACAAAAAACCTTGTTAAATTATTCGATAAAATAACAACATAATATTTGACCTATAACAGATTCATTTAAAGAGGTGCTCTAAAAGAAATATATATACAAGTGAAAAAGAAGGATCAAAGTGTCAAAAGAGCTTCTTCCATGTGTGGCTTTGTGCATATGCGGATGGAAGAGCAAGACTGCCACATCAAAGAATGTGTGCGCATGTGCAAGGTGGAGAGCGAGACTGCTATATCAATGAATAATTGAAGTTATACAAACAACAATTTCATTTTTCCAAGATTCTATAGTTCAAGCTTTGGGTTACCTTGCCTTCATAGGTTTATTTTTTTTCCTTTTGTGATATAAAGTAAATGGGGCAAATTTGAGCCCATTCCTCGTAATAGTTGCAAAAATGATGATGGATTTAATACCCCTTTCAAAAAAAAAAAAAAAAACCCGACTTCACACTTTCCAAAAATTATTTATATTCTATAGCCCATTCACTCTACCTAAAAAACATGCTAGCAAGACAACTCAAGGATAAGCATTTAACATATCACACAAAAATTTTTCAAAGCACATTTCTTTTTACTAAATTGAACTACTAAAGTAAAAAAAGAATAAGTGAATCTCTTACCTTTTTCCTTAATCTACTTTTTCTTGCAGCTTCACGATTTTGAGCAAGCCGTCTAAGAGTCTGGCAAAATATTGCATATAATAAAAACAATTTTTCAAAAATAAATTCAGAAAATGTGATATTTGAAGAAAGAAAGTTTACTTTCTGATCCCCTGCTTTTCCTTTAGATCTGTCACTAGAGTCAGATGCTATTACACCAATAGCTTGTCCTTTATCAAACTGCACATCAGAATTAGTGAGAAGTGATCAGAAACAAAATATACAATAAAAAGAAAAGTATCCGCCAAAATTGACTGATGTACTATATTTCTGAATTAAGTTAAAAAAGACAATACAAACTTACTAAAACAATAGTATAACATTACTTACTAGACAACAACAAGATAAGTGGAAAGAAAAACAAAATAAGAAGTTGCTGAGCATTTTTATATAGAATAGTAAAAATGTGAATGAAAATGCCGAGCACTTTTCAAATTAACAATCTTATAAAACAACTCCGTGGCAACACTTTTGCTTTCTGCAACTCAAACACTGCAATCCATGAAAGAATTCAAAACATTAGCTACACTTACCATGACGTACACTATTACCTCTATATTGGACATAAAAAATATATATATCCTCTACTTACAAAGAAGCAAGCAAAGAATGCAAATCAACAACAACAGCAAGCTTTTATCCCACTAAGTGGGGTCGGCTACATAAATCCTTCTTCTCCATTGTGTCCTATTGAGAACAATATTTTAATTAAGATTATTTTTTTATATAGTATTCCTAAGTTTCTCTAGATCTACCTCTAACTTTCTTAACATAAATTGAATCTAAAACATCTACTTTCCTAACCAGATCATTAGATGGTCGACGTTTAATGTGACCAAACCATCTAAGAGGAGTCTCTCCAATTTTGTCTGCCACTGGAGCACACCAACCTTATTATGGATATATTCATTTTGCATTTTGTCTCTAAGTGTCAAGCCACTCATCCACCTAAGCATTCTCATCTTGGCAACACTTAAATTGATTTATGCTTCTCTTTTAAAGGCAAACATTCTCCGTTATAGAGCATTGCAGGCTTCACCGCCATCTTATAAAATTTTCCTTTCAGTCAAAACGGTACTTTTCTATCACACAATAGACATAGAGCATTCCTCCACTTCAACCAACAAACTTAAATTCTACTAATAACATCCCCATATATATCACCATCACTTTGAACAATAGACCTAAGATATCTAAAGTGTTCACATGTTCACACCTTTTAATGATTTGATGATTTGATTACCCATACTTACAACTCTATCACTAGAGCTAGTGCTACTAAAATTACATTCCATGTATTCAGTTTTAGTTCTACTCAAACGTATGCCTTTAGACTCCAATGTAAACCTCCATAATTTAAGGTTTTCTTAAACTCTTTCTCTAGTCTTATCCACAAGAACAATATCTTCATCAAAAGGCATACACCAAGGTGCATCCTCCTATAAATGTCAAGTAAGAGCATCCATAACTAAAGCAAAAACATATGGGCTTAAAGTCGATCCCTGATGTAATCCCACTAAGATAAAAATATTTGAACAATCCTCCTATTCGAACAGAAGTAATAGCTCTAGTACACATATATCCTTAATGGCTTGAATATAAGTTATGTTAACACTTTAATTCACTAGAACTCTCGAAAGAATTTCTCTTGGAACATTATCACAAGTTTTTTTAAAAAAAATCAATAAAACTCATATGTAAATCATCCTTATTCTCTCTGTACTTCTCCATCATACCTCTCAATAAATGCATAGCTTCCATAGTAGAGCTGTCTGACATAAATCCAAACTCATTATGAGAAATCTTTGTACATATCTTAACCTATGTTCAATTACCTTCTCTCATAATTTTAAAGTACGACATATCAACTTAATTCCTCTATAATTTGCACACTTTTGACGTCCCCTTTATTCTTAAAAATAAAGACCAAAATACTCTTCCTCCACTCCTCGGGCACCTTTTTAGGTTTTAAAATAATATTAAGAAGTTTATTAAGCCAAGAAATTCTCAAATCTCCTAAATATTTCCACACTTCAATTGGGATATCATCAGGTCCTACTAATTTTTCACCCTTGATTTTCTTTAAAGCCTCCTCAACTTCTTTATTACTAATGCAATAATAAAAATAAAATATTTTATTATTATTAATGATATTAAGATCACCAAGATCGATCATATTTTCAAAATCATCATCGAAAAGTTTCTTAAAATAGCTCGCTCACATATGTTGAATATCTTTTTTCTAGAACAAACTTTTTTTCTTCATTTTTAATACAGTTAACTTGAGTTAAATATTTCCTTTTCTTTTCTCTTTGTTTGGCTAGTTTATAAATATCACTAAGAGTAAAATTTTTAGCATCACAAATTATTCTCTTATACTTCTCATGATCGTCTTATATTATTCTCAGTTCTCTAAGTTTCTATATTTAAACCAATTTTTATAAGATAACTTCTTATATTTTATCTTCTCTTACACATTATTAATCCGCCACCAACTATTTTTATTTATAGAAAATTTTCATTTGAAAATTTTCATTTTGATTCTTTGATTCTCAAAGTACATCTTTTGCCACTTGTTTAATAATGTTTGTTACTTTATCCCACATAAAATTTGTTTCTTCGTGGACATCCCAAAAATTGAAATCTTAAAGTTTACTCATAAAAATAATTTTATTTATCTTTTAGGAGTACCCATCTAATTTTAACAATGATTCCTATTAATTTTTATCTTACAACTTTTCATCTTAAAATCTAAAACTAATAATCGATGTCGAGTACTTAAATTCTTACTTGGAATGACCTTATAATCTTAACATTATCGACGAACTCTTTTTCTCATATAAAAATAATCAATTTGTGTTAATTAGATCCATTCTTATAAGAAATAATATGTTCATCTATTTTCTTAAATAAAATATTAGCAATTACAAAACTGCACGTTAAAATAAAATCTAATATGACTCTACATTCTTCATTAATCACTCCAAAACAGTAGTCACCATAAATATTTCTAAAATCTTCCACCACTCTATCAACATGTCCATTTAAATCTCCACCGATAATTTTTTTTTCTTTAAGAGATACCATCTATATTAATTCTTCTAGGTAATTCCAGAATTTTTCTTTAGAATATATATCTAAACCCACTTGAGAAATATAAGCGTTTAAAATATTAAAAATATTAGTATCAACAATAATCTTAGAGGCTATAAATCTATCACCAATAAAAATCATGACATGAGAGAATGCAAATTAAGAAAAAAAAAAAAAGACAGATCAAGTCCAAATATTAATCAGAAAACCAAACAAATGGGATAATATTGAACTTCAATGATTGTAGACGACATAACTATAAAAAAAATAGGGAAGAAATCATTACTTTAAATAACTAGCTAAAAATAATCACAAAAAAAAAAAGGGAAGCACCCTTTGGTTCCTGTCATCAGTATCCACGTCTGTAGAGGTATCAGTCCTTGGACTGTTGTCCGCCATAGCAGACTCTTCCCAATTCTCAAGCTGACCACTAGATAAAGATACCGGACCAGTTTTCTGTCCCTTCAGCTGGACAACAGTAACAGAACCAACTCTAACTTCTGGAGTAAGAACAACTGAAGCAGGATTCTGTTTAAAAAGAAAAATTAATCAGACTAAATTCCTTCTATAAATGGACCTCATTAGTTCTTACCGAAGATATAGTTTCAGAAGAGGAACTCCAACTTACTTTGCTGTAAGCACCAAAACGAAGAGAATCAGAAGCAATGGCCTCACTACTTGATTTTAATAAAGGATCTGCAAAAAGGAGTGTTTAATCAAAAGACTAGTTCAGCCAAAATTGCAGAACTACACTATAGAATGTAACCAAGCCAAATTTAAGAGAGCCCATATCTTGTTTGTATTTGGCTCATTCAAAAAAAAAATTATTTTAGATAGGCTCATGTTCAAAATGGCTTGTGAATAGCATGATCGTGTTCAACTCGATTCAGATTTGTTTGTTCAGTTTCATCTCATGTTGGGTTCAAAATTAACTCGAAAGATTTAAAATAATACAATTTAACACTTTTTAAATACATCATAAAAATCAATACAAAATATTATAATAATACAATTTTTTTAATTATTTAATTAGTACGAGTTAAAACGAGACGAATGATCAAGAAAAATTTATTCATGTTTTGATCATTTATAAATCAAGCTAAAAAAAAATTATTTGTTTGATTTACTTGTTTAACAAATGCATTAAACACGAGTTATTTAGCGAGTTAAGCACGAGTTGTTCGTGAATGAGGAGCTTTTTGACAGCACTAACAATAGGAGTACAAATACATCAGCATTTGGAAGCAGAAACAATCATGTGAAACCATCATGTGCTTCATGCATCCATCGCACATAGATGTATCAATGACTTCATTGATACATCAAAACAACAAAGAGAGAAACAAGCAACATTCCATATATTTGCTAAAATTCAGCATCAGGATGCATAAAACAACCTTTGATGATAAAAACATATGTCAATGAAATAATATATATATATATATATAGAGAGAGAGAGAGAGAGAGAGAGAGATGAGTCACATGCAAGTTAAATGATAGAAATTAACCATGTCACAACTTTTAGAACTAGCAATGTGCACACTATTGTGATGGCCTTTCACATACTTGTGCTGTTGAAGCCGTAGTTTACATAAAATCCACCGGACTGGTCCAATGTCCCATGCTCAGATACTCTTGTAGCACGATCATTATTTCCCTCGGCACCACTAAAAGAATAAAAATGATCAAATGAGAGCAGCAGAAAAGAAATATCAGTTAAGAAATAATAAAAAAAATTAAAGCATAAGCATGATAATGTCGTAAATCGTAACAAGTAGGCAGGAAAAATATATACGAGGCAGATGAGATCCTATTAAAGCACCACAGTAACTAAAGGAATGCAGGCATCACAGCAAGCACATATCCTTTGTAATATTTTCAAGAGAGGCTTCGAGAAATCACAGACACCCAGTACTTCAGCAATGTTTTTATAAATGTTGGTTCTGAAAATCAAAGTTACCTTATTCTAGCTATGTTTCCAGGATATTAGATTTTATTTATTTATTTTTTTTTTGTTAATACTTTGATTAGCCTTTTCGTTAACATTTGCATTCCATATGCACGAATGAATTTATAAAAAATCCAGTGCAACAAGTTGAGGTTTATAGAGACATGAAAGCTCCTCATGATATAGGTACCTATAAAAATACATGCAAGAATACAAAAGGAAATGAAAAATGTGGCATGGAAATATAAACTTATATAAAAATATAATATTCTTCAAATATAGTCTTCTTCTAACATACCAACACTTCAACTTAAGCTGACGCATGAATAACTATTGGCTCTATTTTGTTGCATAAACAAGAAAATGATATACGATCCTGGTCCTTGGTGAAGATAAACGTCACCTATTATGAACTGAAAATGTGAGTAAAAATCCTATGGAAGAGTAGGAAAACATCTCACACGAAATGATAATCAACTTCAATATATTTAGTCTCCTGTAGAAAATGGGATTGTGGCAATATAGATGGAAACATGATTGTCACGCTATAGTATCTAGTTTGAATAACCGAAATATCAAATTACCTAAAAATAGGTTTTAAATGCATCAATTCACATGCTAAGTGGGCCATAGCTCTGTATTCATCTCCTATATTGGATTTGGCCACAATAATTTGTTTTTACTTTTCCAAGTAACAAAATTACCGCCAACAAAAAATTGGTGTTTCTTATTAGCAATATATAAGCACCTATAAGCAGGCATGCAAGAGAAAAAAAAACAAAAAAAAAAACAATCAACATGAAAAAACAAAAAATTCTAGGGATGCAAGTGTATATTACCACACTAAGATATTGTCCATGTATGGTATTCTTCCTAAAATTAGTTTTAAGATAAACGAAGGACTACCAAGATGTTGACACAATAAAAATTCATAAAATTATTTTATAGCAGCTACTGAATCATCATCAATTCAGATTGTCTAAAAGCATTATTGTTCATATCAATGATAGAATTAGCTTCAATTAGTGGAGATACGGATGATAGTTACACCAATTGCTTCAAATATTATGCTATGAGTGCTCAAAGTAACATGCATGAATATCAAATTCTTATGGTAAAATTATTATTCTTGTTAAAGATGATTTTGTATATAAAAAAGAAATGTGGTAGATAAATGCAAAAGAAAAAGCTCATAACTAGATGGCTAACAACAACCGATGTAGTACATGCAACTAATAATCAAACAAGAATCACAAGAAATTGAAAATATATCACTCGCGGATTTTAGTTACATCGCATAAATGTAAAATAATTTTATTTTATGATTCCAAATGCTTTATGGAAAACATAACGCCAAATGCCATGTCCCTTGGATTGTCAAATACATTATAATTCATCATATACATCTTTTGGTGATCCATTCAATGCACCTTCCTAGGAACCTTGAAAGTTCCAAGAAATTGGTTGCATTAGCCCAATAACCTTCTTTAGCATCAGCAATCGTTACTTTCTCCCGATAAATTCAATAACTCACAAAAGAAATCACATATCAACAAAAAAGCTTCTTATTTTTGCATAGAAAGCACCAAAAGCAGCAAATTAAAATGACCTACTAGAACAAACAATACAATATTTTGGTTCAAGTTGCATAATAAAAATAATTTTTTGCATCAATAAATAAATCATAATGGTGATGAGATACAAGCTCAAAGGTTCACCAAGGTTTCCATGAGCTAATATGTGGTGGAAAAAAGCCAAATAATCCCCCATTAAGCTCTTTTGCTTTACCCTATCATCCATGAAAAGTATTGTATTGCAAATGTTTAATCCAGAATTAAACCAAGGTTATGTTAAGAGGGAAACAAAAAAACTTGTTCAGATACACTAATTTGGGAGTTGTTTCACAAACTTCATGTCTTATTCTTTACCTAATGTTATTTATATCCTCACCTCCTCCTCCTTCAAATACCAAGTCTTGTATGTCATCTCACGGGATGGGAGCTCTTATAGTGCCTTGTTAGCTAGTCAGCTCTACATCATTCAAATGAGCATTTAACATAAGATTCTTTAGAATTCTTTAAAGGAAAATTAAATGGTTGAAGAAGAGAGCTCTAACACTGAGTTTGTTTCACAAGACTGTAACTACCGTAATAAGAAGAAATTAGATAATTCCACTTAAAAACTGAAATAGTGAAACTACCTTTCAACAATCTATTAGAAAATAAATTGAGATGCATTGTAAAAAAATTTTTGTTCAAAAAATAAAAGTTAAAAAAAAAAAACATATAGGATTCCCACTTTTACCAATTTTGGTAAATTCAGTTAAACTAGATCCACTCTAAATTAGAGAATAATACCGCCAATTATAAAGTGAGTTCTCCTTTGAACTAGAGAAAGAGAAAGCCCCCAAGGTTGCATGGTCTTTCCATAGTGCTTTTACCGGTAAGTTTGGAAGATCATAAAAAATAACCTGCTTGCAATTTTTTATGATCACTAGATGGACCAAACATGAAGAGTTGTAGCACTTTTAACACTATTTCTCCTAGACGGCTATCATTGATGAAATATTCACTATGTCCAACTCTTTTCCATGGGCCACAGACCCTCGGCCATACTCACCAACTACTACCTAATTTTATTATGTTTAATTTTGAATTGTATTGACGTATGTGCTGAGTTTGAAACCCGGTCCGTCTTCCCGCTCCCGCTCCCGTCGCGACCCAACTCCCGCTCCCGCTCCAGATCGTGAAACTTCGCGACCCCAGCCTGCTCCCACCTCTTCTTTTGTTTTCGCGAATCGGCGCTCGCTCCCGCCCCCACCCCTTGAAGCAAAGTGATGCTTCGCACAGTTATTTGTTGCGAATCGGAGCCTCCCAACTTCTGTGAAAAAGGTGCTACAGGAGTAAGGTACTGAAAGAGAAGAAGGGAAAATTGTAAGATGCTCTCTCTTAGTTACTTCGGCGTGTTTGACAGAAGGAAGAAGAAGATAGTAGAAAAAGAAAGTTGCTCTCCTTTGGCTTTTTATTGGTAGCTTGTGATAGAAGAGAAATAAGAATTCTCTTGTACTGAATTAAGCAGGTAGTTCTCCTATTTTTTTCATCTTCTTTGGTATGTATCTTGGTGTAGAGAGAGAGAAGAAAAGAGAGACTTTTCTTGTAATCGTCAAAGTGATCAGTCGATGTAAATCCTCAAGTAGTAAAATCTTCTGCAACTCCATGGGCGTAGGCAATTTGCCGAACCACATAAATCTATGTGTTTCGTTGTGTTGTCGTTTTCTGGTGTGAATTTTCTCGTTTTATTTTTTTGCTTCGTCGTCGATCGTTCTATTATATATATATATATATATATACCACAACAATGACTAGTATTCATTCGGTTATCCTTCTTTCTAGCTTTCGCATTGTTGCATATCTCTTCATTATCATTTGGACTATTTTATCTTCTAATATACTGATAAGAAAATTGGGTCTTTATGACTAGTAAACTCATCATCATCAACAATAACAACATAAACAAGTCTTTATCCCACTAAAAGGGATTGGTTACATGAATCATTTTTCTCCATTGTGTCCTATTGAGTTTCATATTTTCATTATTAATAAATTCAGATCATTCTATATTAAAAATATCCAATTCTTTTTTAACTTGGGAAAACATTTAAGAACAAAGTAAAAAAAAAAAACAGCAAAAAGAAAGGAAAAAAAAAGGTGTTTTTGGCTAAGATAAAAATAGGCAAAACAGAAAAAAATAACATTGTCATTGCAATTGTCTAGGATCTTTAAATGGATCAACAAAACATTATTTAGTGCTTCGCACAAGTTCTTCTAAATGAATATCATCATTTACACCCTTCAAAGGAGAGTTGTTGTCGATTCATGAAAAATGGTACAGATCATCCAACATCTTGAGCTCTTTTTCACTCTTGATTACCAGTTAATTTTGCTATGCTTACAATTATATCGCATACTTGTGTTATGCAGCACAATTTAAGCTTTTGCGTGGTTTTCAAGATCTTTATTATCTTTGGAAATATTTTCACTTTCAATAAATTGGCAAAGGTATTTATGACTTTGTGGTCCCTATGCTTATAAAAATATAAGCAGGTCGGGGCTACTAAAAGGGTGAAGAATACTAGGCAAATGAAAGAACCGTTGTGAGTTTCAGCCAACTCACTTGTCTTTATTTTAGCGTGTATTTTGCCTTCAAGATTGTTTTGTGCTTCAATAAGCACAAAGTTAAGTGGTTCTCTCTAAGCTTTATGCATGGTATTCTCCATAGTTTTGTGGCTGGTAAAGCAAAAATGTACCAGCCCCCCCCCCCCCCCCCCCAATCACGTAGCAGTGTTCTTTTCCTTCCGATTATCCAACACAGTCCTCCTAATATGTATATTTTTCAAAATTTATTGGAATTACATTCTCACTCCACCCAACCAAACACACTGTTAGTTCTTCTCTCTTTAGACCAAGTGGAGAGCACAAGATGGTGTGGTTGAATACCTTAATAGAAGTCTCTATAACAAAATCTTATCAGAAATCTATTTATTATATTTTCTTTAGCAGAAGTAAATATTCAAGAGCATGAGTTAGAGACTTCTTCACTTCTGCAGAAATAAGAAACAATAAATTCTGAGCAATTTCAAAACTGATTTATAGTCTTACTACTGTTCCGTTAAGTCATTGCCCGGCATTCCAGTGATGCATACTTTCTATGGTTGGCAAATTAAGCTCATTACATGAGATCTAATCTAGCCCCTATGGATATTGACATATTATTCTTATTCGCTCCATATTAAATGAAGAACAGAGAAAACGATAAAAAAACAATGGAAGCAGAAGAAAACTCACACTGATTGAGTCGCAGCCAACGAAGGAATGAAGCTCGGCATCCCCCCCTACATCTCATTAACATCTTCCACACCCTTCCCACGTTTCCTACTTGTCATCCTTCACGATCAGCATCCTCACCATGGCCACACCGCCAGACGCCTCAGCCTGAAGCACCAACAAATAACCAAACAGCCGGTAAAGAGGAGGAAGAATAAAACCAAACAAAGGCAGCAACATAGAAGGTCCGAGAACTCACAAGCCTACAATAGCTCGGCTCTACAAGCTCGAAGTAGAAGAAAAGCGCTGGAGTAGAAAATCAGAGAGTTAAGCTCGGCAGTATTGGGAAGTACCAGCTTACACACTTGTAATCGTCGGGGATGGGATAGAACTGAGGGGAGAGCTTCACTCCAATCATCCCGAACAAAACAATGAAGTTTTGGATGGTCGAATACAATTTCCACAGCGACGGATAACCCTAGATACTCGAAGAAGACCGCCGCCGAGGATCTGGAATATCTCCTTGACTCCCCGCCTCTTTCGTCGGTAAACTGCCTTTCCTTTTTTTTTCGAAACATCTCAGAATTTGGAGTATATAGACGTGGTTGTTTGACTACTGTTGGTGGAGCAGGTTTATTATTATTATTATTATTATTATTATTAGTCGCGCATGCTTTAAGAATTTTTATTTTTTTATTTTCTATAAAAAAAATATTAAAATGAATTTGGGATGATTATATGCAGACCATTCTCCAGAGGTCTCATCCAATGAAAATTACATAAATACCATAAAATTTTTATGTATTTGTATGTCTGAAATTCAAATTTTGATGTTTATATTTGATACCGATCAACAAATTCCATCATCATCACCCATGTCATACGACACATGTTTCGAGATAATTTTTGGAATAAGAAAAGATTAAATTTTGATTAAAATACACCCAGAACTTTAATTTCAGCAAACTTATATTGAAACAGACAAGCTCGACGAGATAGGCACAATTATACCAAAATTGATTCAATATGGGTCAAATCAAGCTTAGATCAAGCCAATAAACCATTTTTGAAAGTTTTTTCTTTTTTAATGTATAGTTCGAAGATCAAATCGAGTCTCTCGATAAGACGTATCCAATTAGACTGAGATTACTTAATTTCAATATCATTAAAGCAGTTAAATGTCTACGGAATGTCATTAGATCAAGGAATCTTCCTAGGTCGTCTGATAAGAGTGACTTTGATTCATTCCTGATTTGAGATTGTACTTTATAAATAGAGTCATGCCTCGCTCTTGAGATGAGAAGAGACTTTGAGCTGAGAAAGTTCAGAGCTCGAAGAAGAGAGAGCTAAAGTCCAGTCTTCTACACCGACGATCCAGCTAACACTTCTAGCTCCTGTAGCCGCCAATCACTATCAACCACCGCTCAATGATCGCTGCTAACCACCATCGTTCGTTGCTCACTTTTTAAGGTGAAACACCATGCAAAGTAACAATTTACACCACAGAATTACAAAGCAACATATGAAGCAGCGCATCATTCTAAACGTTGAGTCGATTCCAAAGAAGGTGTACTGAAGCTCTAACTATTACTCGCCACTATTACCACTCTCTACATTGGGACAACGAATTATTTTACACACAAACGTTGTACTTCGGGAAACTGTGTAATATTTTCATATCTATGAGACAATGATATGTACTTGTAATCACCAACTCATAATAGAACCTTTCAACTAGCCAAATCCCGTGGTTTTGTCCTTTTCGAGGTTTTCCACGTAAAAAAATTATGTTATCTTTTTCTGTTATCTACTTTTATCTTAGTGTGTGTTGGATTCTCGTGCAACGTTGAGACAATAATTTGTTACTCTACCACTGCTAATCTTCTCAATATTTATAAAACCTCGATATTATGAACTTATGCATGAAATTTTTTACTTGAATTTTAAAATGATAGCGATTATGATAATTTTTTTGTGATATTAAAGATTTGAATAAGGTGCATATAAATATGAATATTTAAGTGTTAGATATGCAAATATATAATTGTGTGGCATGTAAATGAATTCCCTAATATTAAATAATGTAAAGTGAAGTTATTCTTTTTTCCATTCAAGGATTTGTATTTTTTATGATTTTTTATTAGGGGATGATATACTATTTACATTTAGCATTAAATAATTTTAAAAAATTTTATTATGACAAATCTTAAAATTGATATATTTATTTTGATAAGAGCATGATGTATAATAAAATAATTAAATGTTATTAGTAAATATGTGTTTTTGTTTATTTTTATATTTTTTTTATTTTTAAAAGAAGTCGCCAGTCTGTCGATCATCGTATAATTTCACATTCGAATAAGTCTCCCTTCCGAATCATATAAATGATTCGAAGAGTAGAGGAACTGAATAAGAAGGGACATACGACAAAGTGACAAACAAGAGAAAAAATAAAACGTGGAGTCTACGTGCAATAAACATCGCAATGATAGGTCAAGAATGTCCGCTCAAACAAGATCAAGCAGAGGCACCTTAAACCAATATTCGTAAAAGAAGTATCTACGCAAACCACCCATAACTAGAGAGATGGGTGTAGTATCTGTTCTGGGGTCAAGAGCACTCCCAGAGGAACGTGTTCCTACTGGTTAATTACATCTTGGGGAATACCCAAGAATACTCTCGATAAAAGGAGTTTCGCTTCATATTATCATAAATTTGGGATGTAGGCAATCAAAGGAAGGTTATTCCGTGTGGGAATAGTCTCAATACTTCAAAGTTCACGTTAAGCCATCGGACAGAGAGTGAGTCTCTCACATCCCAAATGGGTAGTGATTAATCATCACACGGGGCCCACGAACTAACCTAAATCATCTTGACAGGGATATCCCAATACGTCAAAGCACGTACGGGTCAAAGGGCAGAGGACAAATCGTCGTATCCCAAATGGGCGGCAGCTCATCGGCATCAGGGCGTCAAGGTGATATCAACGAGGTCAAGGAGCGACAGGGCTCAAAGGGGCTCAACAAAAAGGAAGGTAGAGTGATCCTAAAAGATAGAGGTAACTGGGTCGGGGTACCACGGACCCGTCGTACATAGCTACGAGGACCCTAAGTCTACCTGGTCGTGAAGGTAGTCGACCCAACACATCCTGAAATCCCCAGTCAGCAATCTGTGAATTGCATCATATATGGGAACCTCGGTAGCCCTAAGGTCAGATGAATGAAACTATATCCTACGACTACAAGCTGGAGCTCCAAGAGGTGGGACTTATACATGCCGAAGTGGCAAGGACGCCTCAAGAAAGAAGAGAAAGTGGAGGTTCAGCTACAAAGCTGGAAACACTCCAAACAAAAGAACTTACACCCCATCTGGGTCGGGGAGTCTTCTAACATCCTAGGCGCACTAGACAACCACTTATATGAAAGTATGTTGAGTCAGCCAGGTTGGAGAAGCACGAGGGATTCCTCCTCGGGACATGCAAATATGCATGCAATTATCTAGAATGATCCTAAGTATTGTGGAGGCCCTATTAATATATGCAGGAAAGTAAAAGTTGTAATTTTTAAATCATGAATATTTTAATCCTAAATTTTAATTATCTTGAATATTTTATTTAGGATTTTTAGAAAATTACAATTTTAGGGTCCTTAATAAACTTATGTTGTATCGTGAAATCTCAGATAAAACACAGAAAGAAAACAAGGAAAACACATGCAAGTGCAAACATGCAACATGATGTAAAGAAAGCAAAGCAAGTCAAACCAAAATAATAAACAGGCCGGTGCCGCTGGGTCAGCAACATATCCCAGAAAAGAAAAGGGCGGTCGGACTCCGCATATACATGTCTGATCCTAATTCTATACATCAATATAAAATGCAGAATTAAGATACGGGGCACGAGCATCTGCTTCTGATCCCTTCCATGTGGTTCCCGTGCTAACGTCTCAGAACCCGTGCCCGTATCTTGTTTCTGCTACAGGACTCTCCTATACTCTAAAAATACATAGAGAAAAGAAAAAGAATCAATCCTGCATGAAAACAAGTGTCAGCGGGTAAACTCACATGCACATAACGTAACATGAGTCATGTCTTAAAAGTGGGGGAAGCTAATAGCACCTGCAAGTAAAAGGGTTAGAAATCATTACTTGCTCCCCCTCCCATAGCGGTACATGTGTGTGTATGAAAATAGGCATGGCTCCCTGCAGAAGAACGCCCAAACACACTACCATACATATGCAACATGTTCCCTAATAATAATTCATAAAAAGTAAAACTTTCCCACACAAAGAAAAACCTAACAGCTCTCAAAGAAGAACTTAAGAATATTGAAGCAATAAAATATGATGGAAGCTCCATCCAAAGAACTTTTTAAGGTCCAGAGCCACAAGAAGCCCTAGCATTTTTACTTTTTAGCCGACTAATAAGAATTTGCTAAAGCAAATATAGCTCATTTGATTGCACGGCTTAGGAATTACATTATTTTTATCTATTATTTAATTTCTTTGATTATTTGAGAATACTTCCATCAAAATTTAATTTTTTTTAATATTTAAATTTAGTTCATTTTGTAATGATGCAGATTGGATCAAAATGGTGAATTTTTTGCTCTCGGATGCTGGAACTTACAATTATGTTCACATTACTATCTTAATATGAATTACACCTTCATTACAGCGAGTTAGAGAGGACTGCAAAAAAAAGGTAAAAATTCATGTAATTCTAATCTTTTTTTCGAAATACAGCCTCTTTTACAAAGTCTGTAATAAAAAAATAGTAGTAATTGATTCAATAAAAATCTCATCTTTTTGCAGAAATCAATAAAATTGATACAGAAAACCGCCCGAGTAAATTCACCTTACTATGAAGATGATGTACTCAGCCAATGAACAAGTTTCAATGCTGCTTATCAAACATCACAAAAAATTAAGTTCAAAATGTTAGCACTAATTACAGACCCTTCCTCCCACTTTGCCGCATTCTGAAACATCTGAGACTTTTTGTTCTCTTGAACTACTTAAAAAGCCCATTTTTGATATTTCCGTTTAGCTTCTTCCTGCTTATAGAACAACATCCCTTCTCTTCTTCGGATTAGCCGTATCTGGATTACCTTTCCTCATCATTGCGGCGAACTCCTCATAGTTGATTCTTCCATCCTATAAATAAAAAAATCGAATTTTTAGTAAGAAAAACACAGTTTTTGTGTTTTTAGAACTTGCAAAAACCAAATTGACAGTATAGTCGAGGATGCTGTGCTCTTACGTTGTCTGAATCAGCTTCGGAGATTATCTTGCTTATGTCTTCTTTTTCATAAAACCCCTTTTCTTTAAGAGCTTGCTCAAGCTCTTCTTTTGTAATGAAGCTGATATGAAGACGGAAAAGAGGATCTGTGAGTAATAAGTCTACAAGTCAGATTTTCTTCTAATAAATCAGAATGTTTGAACTGACCCGCTGCCATCCTTATCGAAGTATTGAAATGCTGTATAAAGATGTTCTTCTCTGTCCATTCGGTTCAAGTGCATTGTCGCAGTGATGAATTCATTATAATCGATGCTTCCATTTCCATCAGCATCAGCCTGCATTTTTGCATGAATTCACGGAGTAAAAAGATAAGGAGAAGAAGAAAAGTACTTTAGAGAAGAGGATACTGCAATGAGTTGCAGAACTAACGGCCTCTAATAGTTGCCTAACTTCTGCTTCTGAGAGCTTCGTCCCCTGCTTTAGCAACCCTTGCCTTAGCTCTTCAGCTGTTATGGTTCCACTGTTATCGGTATCCATGTTTTTAAACATTTCTTTAAGGCCCCTAATCTCTTCCTCTGATAAGCATTCTGCTATGACCTGCAACAAAAAATGCCAAATTGTTAAATTTCAGAGATTTGTTATTCGCCATTCAAAGATTTTTTGGTAAAGCTGAAAGAATCTGTCATTAGTTTTTAATAAACAGATTTAAGCCACCATGAAACCAGAAATTAGTCTCAGATATTTACCACATTCATCATTGAAGTGGGGAAGAAGGTAGCTAAAAAAAAAAAGAAAAAAAAAAACAAATGAATCGATTATCCTGGTTTCTTGTAAGACATAGTTCAGTGCAAGGAATGTTACCCTCAAAGCAACTTGCTTGAACTTGTTTAACTCTCTAAATTGTTTCAGCCTATTGAGAACAGCATTATCAAGAGGAATATCAGGTGCTTCTCCATCTTCTTTGATCCATGGATGATCTTCAAAACATAAAGAAAAAAAACCCGACTTTTTATGAACAATATATGGGCATAATATTCAGAAAATTGAATTTTTCTAGTATTTAAATTCACTGCAAGCCAGGATATAACACGTATTTCAGCATAACAGTTACCTAATTGTTTCAGTTAGATTTGTGTGCAAATTTTCTCTTAAAGTTGCTGAAATTTAAGAGAAAATCAATTTAAATATACTTACTGAGAACATCAAATGCTGTTAACCTCTTCTGCGGGTCTTTGCAGAGCATCTTCTTGACGAGATCCTTTGCGCCATCAGAAATGCTTGGCCATGGATCGCTCTTCAGATCGACAGGAGCTTCGAGAATAGCTTTGAAGATTCCATGTTCAGATTCTGCATCAATAATCTGCACCTTCTAAGCTTTCTAATCATCTCACATGGAAGATCTTCGCTCATTATGATTCAAGAAACCAAGTTAAGAAATAAAAATAAAAATTACCAGACCAAAATGGAGGAACGCCACACAAAAGAATGTAAAGCATAACACCAATGCTCCATATATCAACTTCAGGTCCATATTTTCTCTTCAGCACTTCAGGAGCAATGTAATAAGCGCTGCCAACTATATCTCTGAAAACCTCCCCTGTTTCATGAATCACAGAATGGAAAATATTAAGCAGAGAATCTAAGTTTAAATCCCTTCGTTATAAAAATTGCAGGAACCTGGCTTGAAGAAAACAGAGAGTCCAAAATCAGTCGCTTGGAGAGGAGCATCTTCTGCTTTGTTAAGCAATAGAAAGTTCTCTGGTTTGAGGTCTCGATGCATCACCCCCATGGAATGACAAGTATGAACAATCTGCACAATGGTTCTCAGCAGGGCCGCGGCGGCCCTCTCGGTGTAATGGCCCTTTGCAATAATCCTATCGAAAAGCTCTCCTCCGGCGCAAAGCTCCATGACAAGATGAACTGAATGTTTGTCCTCATAAGCCCCCTTGAGCTCGACGATGTTGGGTTGGCCGGTGAGATGGTGCATGATTTGGACCTCACGGCGCACATCTTCGATGTCTTCGGCGTTGCTGAGCTTGCGTTTGGCAATGGTCTTGCAGGCAAATTGTTGGTAAGTGAATTTATGGGTGCAGAGGTAGGTGATGCCGAATTGACCACGGCCGAGCTCCTTGCCGATGGAGTAGGTGGAACGAACGTCTTCCATGGGCCGGCCGAGGACGGGACCAATGGGGGCAGGCTTGGGGGGTTTCATGGTGGGTGGAGGGGAGGGGGAGGGTGAGGTGGGGTTGGGGGTGGTAACCGGGGGTTTGCAGAAATAGGAAAAGCAGATTCCCATGTTGGGAGGGGTTGGGGAGCGGACGGAAGGGGGAGAAGGGGGCTTGCATGAAAGGAAGAGAGAAGAGGAGGAGTGGAGAAGAAAATTTGGATGAGCTGTGAAAGGGTTGGCGTGGAGAGGGGAATTGAACCGGTCGGAGGAGTTTTAGGGAGAAGGGATCGGGGGAGGAGTGGCGAGGAGGGAATGGCGGGAGTCTAACGGTCATTTTCTTCTCTGTATTTTTTGTTTTTGGTTGGGGAGAGAGTGGACCGCTTAAAATTTAGGCTTTTTTTTTTTAATAAATAAATTATATAATATGATAGGGGCTATATATTCACAAATTTAATATCTACACTTTATATTTTGTATTTAAAAGACTCAAATCTTTCATATTAAATTAAAAATATCTATCATTTTAATTTTGAAAAAGAGGTAGAAATAGATTATATCAAAGGGTAAGCAATTACCCCACATTAATTTTGAGATTTCTTTATATAGATATTAAAGCTTAATATTTTTTTTTTGCAATTTAATAATTCCCACCCCTCTCAATATATATTTATCAAATAAAAAAAATAGACACCTCATGATTTTACCATGCCAAAAAATAATGTTGGTTTCACCCTTGTTGGCATTCACTTTTGACCGAACACATATGAGACATCCTCGTTGAGTGGCATAGCAGTATAATCGGGGTTTGCACAGTTATAGCCGCTTTCCAAGTTGACTGCTGTCAAACCGGCCTCGCCTCCAACATCCTCTGAGTTGATGTTTGTTCTTGTGATGCAGATTGTTAATGAAGTTATCCCACGCTATGTCCGTATGTTAAGCCTAAGGTACTGATAGACAGCTTTCATGTTGGAACTATTCTACTCAACAACACATAGATCGTTCGTCCTCTCGTGCTCTCTTGAGATGCATTGACGACCTTTACAGAGCTCCCAAAATCATAATTGTTGATATCTAATTCAGCTTGTTTGGAAGTCTAAATTTTTTTGGGTGCGTGACCAAACCAAATTCAGGCGTGGCCATGCCTAATCAGTGGTGTGACCACGCCTAAACTGGGTGTAGCCACGCCTAAACAGGGCGTGGCCACGCCAAATCCTCCCCAAATAGCTCAAATGGCCTAGTTTCAGCATGAGCACACCCGAAGGTGGCATGACCACACCAACAAAACAGAGAGTTTGGCGTAATACGTCGCAATTCAGGCATGGTCATGCCCAAATCTAAAGAGGCGCTCATATTCATTGACTGGCGTGAACATGGTAGAAGGTGGCGTGTCCAGGCCGACCAAACTGAGTGCTTGGTATAATTACGTCGGGGCTTTGGCGTGACCACGTAGGGCCTCCGTTCACAACGAATGCTACAATGGTGTGACCATGCACAAACACAACATAGCCACACTATTGAAACCTATTCTACGATTTTTACTCTGGTCCCCAAATTCTCGCTGGCGTGCAATTCTTATTAAAATGGTTTCTTTTGAAACAAACGTCAGACTTCAATCAACCACTGTGGCAATAAGACTCCTTAAACTTTTGTTCTTCCTTGCATTAGGGCTCCTAACTTTGAATGTTAGAGAAGCCAAGTTAGGATTTTTGGTGTTCCTAGAGGAAGCCAGGTAAGCCCCCCCC